GTTTTAATAAGCCTTATGGAAGGCAAGTGTTTCCTGATGAAAAAGAAGTGAAGGTTCTACTATTAACCAGGAGAGTACAGTTTGCTTCCCATTTGTATTCTAGTAGTTAACAATTAACCGTTTTACATAACATTTTTAAAAGCGTTGCAGTTTGCTTTTTCAAAGACCTGACTGAAAAGTACCTTGGGTCATTGTACATTTTTACCTGAAAATAACAAAACAACTTGCTTCACTATGAAAATTGATTTGAAAAAATTAGAAACGGCGTTTCCACGGAAGTCCGCAAGCAAATTTCCTTTCTCTGCTGAGAGCTTTTCCCCGCTTTTTTACATTTGTCAACTACGGCTTCTTGTCACTGGTTGTCCGTAAATAGAATTGAAGGGAATATTAAACGCTTGTTTGAGCTGGGTACTTTTACCGTTAATAAAATAATTCGACACTCGCTGAGCTTGTCGATAAAAACACAAAAGAAATCTTCAAAACCGTGATAAAAAGAATTAAAATTATTTCCGGTTTTCTTGTGGTTTGTAGAAAATTACGTTGTGCCTTTTTGTAGTTGTTTTGTAGCTGCATACATGTAAGTTTTCGCATAGTTTTTATGTAGTTAGGCTTCCCGTTTCGTGCATAAAATTATCGGGCGCTGGAGTCATTCTTCGCTCTCGCAAGTTTCATAATCATTTACTCTGTCTTTTGCCTCAGCTAACTGTTTTCTCCAAGAGCAAGTCTTCTTCATCCATGGGCAATCTGCATTGTCGAAGACTGAGATATGAAATATGCGATGAAAAGTAAGACGCGCAAAATATCGGATGTAAGAGGTTGAATGGCTCTCGATAATGTGACGTCACATTTTTCCACTATGTTGGAACCGATCGCGTCAGCCAGTTTCCTATCCAGTCTTTCTATTATCCATGCTATGAGTGGGAAAACAACCCAAATGCGTTCAATAACGAACTAAATGCACACGTCAAATAAATAAGTAAATATAGCGCGCGCTCATTAGATTGCGCGCCCACACAACCTACACTTACTGAAAAGATACTAAAACGACTAAATTAACAATGGATGTGAGATCCTTAACATATGGAAAAGTGACGGGTAGTAGGAGGGCAGAGTGCTTATTAGGGATAGACTGCTTATTTGCAAGATTTACTGACGGTAGGTGGGTGCCAATTCGGACTGACGGAGCGTGTTTAGGCTGAATGGGCGTGGCCGTGGAGTGCATTTTAAACACGAGTTAACCAAACAGACTTGACTCGTCCCCAGTTGTCTCTTTTTATTTCTAAGGGGCCAAGGAACGGTCAGGACAGACTATTACGGCATCCGGTGTGAAGAGGACTATGGGATGGTTCTCCCCTTGACCAACATGGCCGTCATTTCATTGTATGGTCGCCGTGACGTCGTGCGAGACCGCTCTATCGCAGACTGAAGGGCAACTGGGGTCGAGTCAGCAGACAGAGGGTCAAGAGGGTCACCATCTTTTCAAAGTCGATAATATTAAAAAAAAGGATACAAAGGAAATATGATACAGATTAACGCCTTAATTCGTTTGTTTACGGCAGTATTTAGATCAGTTTTACTCTCTAAACCCTAAGATCAAAATTTGAATTCTCATTTGTTTCCCCTATTCATTTCCTACAGAAGTAGTGGAAAGAAGTTGATAAAATACTAAGGAAATTCATCTTGAGAGATCATGTCCGTAATTCGTATGACCGCTCTGTTTTACAAAAATCATCGATATTACAAGGAGAAAATTGATGCTGATCACTCTTAGGGCTCAACGGGTTAATAAGTAAAATGTTAACTTACTTGTTATGCGGGCTTCATGTGGCAGCCTGCATTGAAGTTTCGGCCAAACAGCGTTCTTCTTGTCTAATCCAAATGGTATTATTAACCCAAGCTCGGTGCATATTAATTTCAATGCATGTTTTGATACTGTACTTGTTGCGAACGAGTGAATCACTTTGTATAGCTGTCAAAATGTGAAATATAGGCATTGATGAAGAAATAACTCCGCTTGCCTTAAATTGGATTTTAAATTGCTTTATCTGTGCAACCTGAGCTCACTTCATGGCCATTTTCTATAATTTTGCAGCTCATTGGTTGTTCGTGGAAATGCATTTTGCAATTATCGAAAAATAAAATCTTAGAATATCAAAGAGATTAAGTTTTTTGATCTAAAATCGCTGATCCGTCCTCACAGAGACTCGCTCCTAAAAAAGACGTTTTGGCTTCCATAGTAGTTAAACACCGGCCAGACTGTAAAAAATCAGCGGTGATTGGACCGTTTTCCAGGAGGACTGGATGGGGAGAGACACCAATTCCCTTAAGACGCAAAATACAGTTAACTTTGAGTTATCTTCAAGGGAAGTAATGTAGTGTCCATTTTATGAAAAAAATTCAATCTTACTGTTAAGAGTTTATCAAGACGTTCACTACGCGAAAACTAGTAATAAACTTGAATGTGTATGAATTACAGGCAGAAAAAGTATTCCGCTTTTACGAATGAAACGTTATGATTAAGCAAAAAAATTACGGACACACTTACTCTTGGCAAAACTCAAGAGCAAAGATATTTCTTTTCCAAAAAGTGGGTGTTTATTTGTTGCTCATAGATTAGCTGAACTCCAGGTAAGTTACATCAGCTGTAAAATTTCATCTCAGCCCCTCTCTCCCACGGACGAAAACATAAAAAGATTTAGTTCAGATCGAAGATTCAAACAGCAATAAAATGTTTTATTCAGTATATGTGCAAATGACCGATTTTTTGGAGAATTTTGACTTGGTTGACAGGGCAGTAATAAGCCTTTATAGCGTACTTAAAAGATGTCTAAAAATGTTTGTTTCTCCGGTAATCAAGCTCAAGCGTCATGCAGCACGTTTTTAACAGGAACTCTAACTAGAACCAGTCAAGCAAGTGTTTCGTTTTTCTTAGGACAGCATTCAAAGTAGTCCAAACAAATCACATCAGCATCTTTGTCCTTAGTGGTATCCCTACCATATACGACTGGCTGGGTTCCTCCTTCTGTTACATCCTAGAAGTTAAAAAGATGAAAAGTCCTATCCACTGGATAAATCACTATCCAGAGGACATTAAAATTGGTTTCCCTAATACGTATCCACTGTTTAACCATTTTTGTCTTAAACGAACCATAAACTTATCCAATCATATAACAAGGTTACTATGTTTTATACAGTTCTAATTACCACGAGCGAAGTGATTATGGAAAGAACTGATAAAGATGTATATTCTCAAGTATATAAATCTTTTACTTGTGGCAACCATGTCTTTCCCTTAAACTGCCCGCTGTTTATTGTAGAAGGTCATTGCACTTGTGCGACAGGCTAGGCATCCTTTTCATTGCTTGTAAAATCAGATAGGGATGTTTATGGGCGGGGTATCATAGTCGTAAAACCGCGTCATATCTCATTATCATTTTCATTTAAATAATTGTTTGTTTGTTTATATGTCACCTTCATAACATTCATTTATTTATATTTTTTTGACTTGGCCCATAATGATAATGGTTAACTAAAGCAGTGCTGTACATTTTTCAAATACATAATAGTTTATGAAATTTAAGTCTATATCTACATTGGAATACGAAAACCTAACTGTTGAGAAAAAAGCCTCACTTGCACACTAGGATTACTGTGACGCAACTCCTTCAAGTTGGGCGCGAAAGTTCACGGCGGTTGCCGGTTAACATTTGAAGAAATTGCGATGATGTGAAATGACGTAAGCTATCGAGTGAAGAAAACATAGTACGGTCATCCTACTGGTTGTTTTTATTCAAGCTGCGGTGAGTTAGACGCATTTGAAACTTTGTTTCTAATTCGTTTTGGAAAGAAAACTGTTAGTACCTTTCTGAGGCATCCCCTGCAATTGTTATGATCTCTTATATTTGCACAGACATTATGGTATCGAAAGCAGGTTTTTGAAACATGATCAGGAAACGAGCAGCGGCCTTTCAAGTTTGAAACAACCAAGAAAGTTGGAAGTTCAGGACTTGTACGGTAAAAAATAACTATTTTTAAACATGGATTGATGGTAGTCGACTCAGGCACGTAGGGCCAGCTGTGGTACCACGGTTTGAAACGTGCGGAAAGAGAGTCAAAAAACAGGGTTTCATCCACCGTTAACTGTTTATTTTTTTTCTGCTTTATTTACGCGCGCTTTGTGTCGGGTTATTTAGTTATAGTTTTCTCCGGACCCTTTTCGGCTCTGACTCTCTTTCCAGGTCTGTTCACTGTGCCCCTGATGAGAATGACAGACCTTCTGAGAAGACTACAATTTTTAAATTAACATCAGTCTATGTTCCCGTCTATATTAGTGAGCTCACTAGAACTTAATAACAGTGTAACATAGCTATTTATCTATTTAGCTCTCGTACCGTAGCTAAATGAGTATTTACCACTTACTTAACGCTATACATTCTTATTAAAAATAACTAACGTATTTGTGATTATTTTTCCCGCAGCTACTTATAGTTTACGCTCAATGAACTAATGTGTCGTTATTGAACTACTGGTGTGGTTATTGATCTGTTGTGTACTTATTGAACTGCTGTGCGGTTGTTGAACTAACAACAAGGAAAAACTAATCCTAAACCACACGGAAAAGCTTGCTACGCAGGCTAATTTTCACCAGAAAGGTTTTACAACAGGCCTGATAGTTTTGAAGTCTCTCACAAAACATCCCAAAAGCGGGGAGCGATGAAAGGCAAGAATATTCACAGGCTTATAGTTCGAAAGATTCTACTTTACTTGTGATGAATGAGTAACATGCAAGAATAGCTCGCGATGGGCTGACTCTACATGAGGCTACAAAATACTTTGACGTGTATAGCAAGAAGTAGCCCTAATGGTCCCCCGCCCAGCCCCGCTTTGTGTCACGATCGGCTGGCTTTATCACGGTTTCTCTCCGCCCTTCCCTTATAGACAGTCTGTTCACAGGCTATTGAAGTCATAAACTACTAAATGTTCTGTGTGAAAGAGTGCCTTTATGAAGTACTGCATTGGCAGGTTTGTTTCCTGCTAACGACTCCTTGGACAAATGCTGGTGACTTTCCTGTTAAGCACTCTAGTTCCGCAGATCTACCGGAGAGGGTAAAAAAAAAACACGACTCACTTCAAGTTTGCAAATCAAGTAGGGCCTGAAGTAGTATCGAAAAGGGCCATTCCAGTTTGTCAAACATGTAAGGATTGGTCAAAGTTGTCGAGAGGGGAGAGCAATAGCGCACTTCTAAGAAAAGAGCCTTTTTGTGACGACTCAGCTGGTTAAAACCCCTGTTCATCGTATCTCAGTTCTCGAAAATGTGCTAAAACACCCATCCTGCAGATTGATTTGATTTTTACCTTGCATTTAAAGCCATTCCAGGATGGTTGGCGTCTTGCCTGAGTTTCATGGTATCGGCTCGTCTCAGCTGTTCTTCTATTACAAGCGTTTGTTCTAATAACTTAAAACAAAACAGCACAATTCACAAGGGAGCCATGCACGGAAATCAATAGTAAGATGCTCAAACCAACACAAGGCGTCAACTAGGCCAAAACAAGACCGTACAATAACGCGGCACAACAACGTGGACTGTGATGGTAGAACGATTTTCGTATGACCTTGAAAAGAAAAAACGCGAACAAAACAGAAACAACAAAAGAACGGAAATAGAGCTATTTTATTCGTTTATCGAAAGGATTGAAACGAGAGGACTCCAGGACTCTGACAAAGCTTTGATACTTTTCTTTCTTTTAATTACTGACGGCAACACAAACTTCTTCAGGTCAGCTTCTTACAACAGCTAGTCACTCTGTACTAACCATCCAACTATACAACTTATAGAAGCATAACGCCGGTACGTTTAGGCTTGCTGATCATGAGAGTTACGAACGCTATTCCGAATGACTTCTAACGGATTTCCCGTTGTTAACAAAAGTGGAATAAACAATCCTACAAGAAAACCAATGAAAGCTCGACAGCTAAATCCACGAGGCTAAACCTTAAACCAAAACAGGAACTCCGATGTAGGGGATAATCAAGGTCAGCAATGGTCCCAGAACGTACCCACTTAAAAACTGACAATCAAACTTAATTAAACCCCAAGCTTGATGACATTTCTGTCGACAAACCCATTAAAAAGGTAATAACACTTAAAAACCTGTTAACGCATATATCAGTTAACCTTGATCCTCAAACCCAAACATAACGAAACTTAAATCACGAGAAGAAGAAAGAACAAATAGAACTGTTACCAAAAATACTTATGATAATAATGTCAAAAACAACCACAAAACTACTTCATAACACAAGCTATTTGATGTCTAAAAAAACTTGGGAACAATATCAGCAGAACAAACCTTAAAGCGTCGCGCAATAAAGCGGTTCTTGTACTCCAGAGAGACTGCAATGAAAACAAACGAAGGTAAAAGGCATGCAAAAGAAGTCTGAATTGGATTGATAAGAAACTGTTTGACTGGGAATGTTGAAACAAGTTAACGTGCGCCGTACTTATTCTAACGTCTCCCGACTGAAAAGTTCTTTAATTTAAACTTTTCTTAACGTACGATGCTCGCGCGTCCCTTGCGCCTTTGGAAATCACGCAGCCAACTTACTGCACAGCTATTGTTTTACTATACCTGACAGTTCTTTAAATTAGAGTCTTTCGACTTACGTTGCTCGTCTCGCTTACATCCGTTTTACTTATTATTTATTGCAATGTTTTGGTGCGAATGTAAATATGAAATGGTTGCGATACAAGTAAAACGAGTGTGAGCCTTTTTTATCGATGTTTACTAACCAGGCACGTTGTGGCTTGCAATTTGCCCAGCAACCTTCGAGCAAGTGAAAAAATTATAGTCCATATTTAAGCTTAATAAACTCTGTATGCTTAAATAGTCTAACACAGAGCGCAGATCACCGGCTAAAAATAAGCACTTTCACGTTCTGTTTTCGATTAAAAAAGTATTCAAATTGTGCTTAAATAAATCATCAATTAATAAAGGAAAACTACAATGCCTACCTGGTCTTTTGCAAGTTGTTTAAGTTTGGCATACATTTTGACAATCTCTTCGAGCACATGGTCGATGCTCAGTAGCCAAGCCTTCTATCCTAAAATGGAAGATAGGTCACGTGCATCATCGAATGAATTTTGTTCGAATCATTGAATGAATATTGCGTAAATTATCGTATGAATATTGCTTGAATTGTTTCATAAATGTAGGAGAGAATCGAATGCATATCATGGCGAATTTATCGAATTTTACTACAAGTTTATCGAATGTATTGAACAAAATCAAACATATTTGAATTTTATTGTCAATATGTGGAAATTATCAGACGCATTTACGCGACATCGAATATTGACACATTTTGGCAACCATAGTCAGGCGCGTCGTAAATAGGACGCTCAAGTTTCGTCTTACGTTTCTAATATTGTCATGTTAACTATTAACTCTCGATGTCCTTGGGAGATGATCTCGGATTTCAATTTAACGGTCACGAGAAGAGAAAAGAGATAAGGGATGAAATTCTGTAGCGGTCTTCGTACAAACTGTGACTCCACTCGACCTGACCAGTCTCACGCGTGGAAAAGCGCCAGGAAACTCGATCCGACGGTCGGCAGCCTTTGTCTGCAATTTCTGCGACACGCGACGTGAATGACTCTCCTGCTCGTGGTAATTTCAATGTTGTTTACTGGTGAGACGAATTATGTTTTTTCCCTTGTTGCTTTCCAGATTCAAAAGAATAGAAATTATTATTAAAATCAAACCAAATTTTACAAAGAGACTGCTCAGTTTACGATTCTTATCGCTATTATTGGAAATAAAATCAGTAAATATTTTTTCCTTACTAGCCTTTCGCAAATACTCGATATTTCTACACGACAAACATACACGAGCGGTAAATTTAACTCGCGCGATTCAGCATGGTATAATCTGTTTTCTTTTTCTGACACATCAAGAAGTCAAATAATAGCAAAAGAGACCGTCGCGAAAACAATAGAACTATCTTGACAAAACACGTCTGAACTGGCAAACTTACTTCCGGTCAGGTCAAGTGTAGTCATAGATCGGACGAAAAGTGGCCTCTAAAAACAACGCAAATCTGAGCAGAAGAACGGATATCAAAAAAAACGAAAACAACAACCCCGTCTAATTGAACCTTTAATCAATGTAGGTGGCAGATACTAGCCGATTTTGTTCATCAACAAGGTAATTACGCCTCAAAATAAAAGTACGCTCTTTAAGTTTCATCCCTTGGCCCTTTTCTCTTCTCGTGACCGTTAGAGGAAAGTTAAAAACCCGCGTTAAAATTCAACACCGGGTTAGCGGTAACCAGCGTTCGAACAACTGAGTCATTTGTAGTTTGTTGTTGTCGCGAGTGACCAAGCAGTCTAGAAAAGGTATCTTACCATTTTCTTCGATCTAAACTTCAAACGACTATTTACAGAACACCTGCACATACCGACCGTTTACAAGACCTGAGTCTTCGTAAAACCCGACCTCTCACAAGGCTACTACTATCCGGACTTTGACGAGACAAGCGCAACTAGTTTTCGACTCACCAGATAGCCTACAAGACAAGACTGATTATCTTAACAACGTTTTTAGTAAGAACAATTACAACACGGACTTTGTTAAACGGAACACTTACAGTAACACTGATTCCGACATTCAGACCAACGTCAACTCTGGACCTGTTACGACAGCGACTATACCGTACATCAGAGGCACCTCTGAAACTATCGCACGTATATTACAACCTTACAATATATGGGTTGCACACAAACCGATAACCACTTTACGACGACTGCTTACTAATGTCAAGGAGAAAGACAATCCGAAGGACAGATAGGAAACAGTGTACAAAATCAAATGCTGCGACTGCCAGGCTTCTTACATTGGTGAAACCAGCAGAAATCTTAGCACGCGACTGACCGAACGCAAACAAGCGACAAGGAATGGTGACGTCAACAATCACATTGCTGAGCACCATTTACAGACGAAACATCAAATTGAATGGGACTCTGCGACGTGTATAACGTATTCTACAGACTGCTATCAACGTCTTACTTTAGAAAGCGGGTTTTCCTAACTTAGAACAAACGCCACTGAATCGTAGTCAACGGTAACCAGCGCCGTAAAAAACGACTTATTGACGAGATCAAGCAAAGCTAACTACGAGAGAACGACTGGAGAACTGACAATTTGGCTAACAATAGACGACTGTTTAACTGTGACAATAGACGGATCGAAACGCACCAATTACTGATTACGAGTCTTCATAGCCAGTAACATCACGGCTTAACTGACAGACGACCAATAACATTGCCACGTAATTGACCAATTAGATCATAACCAGAGTATAACACCATCAACTGACGTGATACAACTTACTTTGTCTCTGAAGATGACTACCGCACAGGTTGTCGAAACGTCAGTCACTGCCAACAATATCAGTCCTATTCAGGAATACGTTCACCGGGACGATCAACCTCAACCTAGTTTTGTTCTAATATTCTTACAGTCATATTAAGAGCATAGAATCCAACAGTGGAGTAAGATGAATTTCCATTTGCGCATTCAATTCAAGTAAAAAAAGGACCTGCCCTATTACAAGCACCTGTTATCTGCCACGTACATACCCCATAATGTTTACTCCATCCACATCGATCAAAACTCATCAGGAACGTTTCTTCCCGCCATAATAAAGAAGAAAAACTGTCTTCCGAAGTGTTTTTATTACGAAAAAAGCTGCCGGGTACTATAATTTACCACATCTACTGCAGAGTAAAACACATTGGAAATACCTAGTTAATTTGGTAGGACAGGATTATCCGTTGTAAACGAAGCAATTTTCAAAGCACTTGAAAGTTTTCTTCGCTATAACGGTATTGAGAGCGGAGAACTACCCAAAGGACAGGATACCCGACTACTACACTCTCATGACTTCGGGAAACAACTTCAAGGGTTTGAGCACTCTGCAAACATAATATTTCCATTTTGAAGGGATCTACTTTTACATCTTTAACAAGAGAATTCTGTTAACATCTTCTAAATGACTCAGTACCAAAAAAGGCTGTTCAGATGGTTAAGTGACATTCTTGTCCCAGGGAAATCATTTTACTCCTCCCTTCAACAAGGTAAGGGTCGGTGTGCATGGGGGTGACTATGGTGTCCAGAGCGAATGGTTCATGCGAGCAATTCAGTGGGAGACAAAGGAAGGAACAGTCAAATGCTAGAGAAAAGTAGCTGCGATCGGTTTGTATTTTTGATAAAATAATAAGATAAAACAATTGGAAAGTATTATTATCATTATTGCTCCTATAGTTACCTTTCCTGCCTCAGCCAGGCCCGATTCACATGCCGATCATCTATTTATGAGGGCAAATTAATACAGTGATTAAGGTCGCGGCGGACACCTTGAGCTCATTGTTAGGCATTTATTAAGGGCGACAAAAGGAGCCCGCAGCCTATTCTTGGTCAGCGCTACTCTATGAACTGTATAGCGAGATTTTCCCAAATCTGTCCACATTTTTGGGATGCTGGTGTTGTGCCGACTAATGTGCATTGTGTGTGGCCGCGAAGGCCTTAATGTTGAGTTTAAGATCCGTCGAATGTCATAGTAATCAAGTGAATGCACATGCAAGTGATGCAACAATCATTGTTCGATTCGCAAGCACAGGTAATTCAGGTGTACTAATTCTGTATCAAATGAGACTTGCCAGCCGGCAATCTATTTACTCAGGAAAATGAAAGTAGAGCCTGATCTCAGCTTAGAGCAAGACGAGTTATCGGTAAGATACGAGTGTTAGCAAATTCTAGAAATCCATGTAAATTAAGTTTATTCAGGTTTCACTCAAGTGCATGGTTTTCGTATTTTTTTAGCTTACTTTTCCAAGCATGTTACGTCGCTTCTCATCTGAAAGCTTCGATAGCCTTCAAACTCTAGTAGTAAACTAAGCTTTATTAATTATTTTTCTTTTGCATATCAAGGGCATGTCAAGGGCCTTTGGTTAGTAAACATGGATGGAGTACCCGATTGAATATTCAATAAGACTTATTCGTGCTGTCGTGACTGTATACATTTCAGGTTGAGAAATGTGTCACGCATTACTGTTTTCATGGTATATTTGAATGCGAATACTGTCAACTCCTTTTATTGCAGACACTGTAGGGATCTCGAGTTGGCTTTCTCATTAGCGAGAGTCCGTAATGGCGGCAGTTTATTTCAGTGAAGCTTCTGTAATTTATTTTTGCCCGGGATTTAACCGCTGCTCCGTATTATCGGGGTGTCCGTTATAACGAGGTGTCCGCAAGGCGAGAGTTGACTGTATAGCCTTCTCAGGCTAATTGTAGCTGAGCAACTGTGAATAAAATCGTTGAATTCTACAAAATCATTAGGTACACCCGGGTTACCATTTGATGCGAACGTACCGCCGCAGATCAGTGCAGGTATCGTTCGCCGTGGGTTTAGTCGTGTTTATTTTTCTCCCATGTATCTCCGCCTTTGGCAGCTGCTTATCACGCTCCAAGTTACATTTTACAACCGTTATGGTCTCCATTTTTTTCTTTTTTTGTGCTCTGTGACGCGTCACAAGCGGACTCGGCTCTTTTGCCGAATTATAATTTTATGAGAAGACTCCTGGACGTGTCCAGAGTTTAAACAATTGTGGTGTAACGCGTTTATACCCTTTCCTCGTATCTTTGTAAGTCTCAACAAATTTGTGACTAGCTATAGAGCCGGTTATTTTGACAGATTGTTTATACCAAGTGGCGGACGAGTCCGCCATTTTGTAATGCAAAACGCTTGACGCTTTCTTTATCCATCTTAAGTTCTTCAGACGATGACTGAGGAATCTCCGAAAATTGCAAATTCCGGGGGTACTTCGCCTGTGCACCTCAAGGCGATGTTTGCCGAACTTTTAGATGATGCCAAAAGAGATATTATGGCCTACGTACAAGACTCTATCGAGACGATTTATGCCGATTTTGAAGATTATGAGACCGGCCCTGAGAGCGGTGAAGCGAGCACTGAGTGTTCGGATGCAGCTGT